ATTTAACCCTTAGAATTCGAATGTAGGTCTTTTTATCATGTACAAATGGAAATCACACTAATATTAAAGCACACTAGTATTAAAGGTAAATACACATATTTGAGGGAGATATTAATAGCTTCCCTCATTTCTATTTATTGAGAACTGTATTTTAAACCTATGTTGTTCTCATCAGTTATCTTTTGTGTAGCAACAAATAAATGAGTTACATGAACTTGAACGAGCAGAATTGTCAGTAGTTAGTTCTTAACTATTTCCCAGTTCAAGATGCTAGGAATTGTTCTTCCTGATTTTTTAAAACTGCCCTTTAAATACTCCTTTACATGTTGAGGTGAAATTTAGATTTAAAAATATAATTGTAAACCCCTCTATACAAAACCTTACCCAAAGAAAATGTCAGACTTGCATAACTAAGGCTTGCTCTAAGAAGAGGGATTTAATATTTTTTTCTTTCACAGATACTGGTTAGTATCCTGAGATGAGACATTTTCCTGACTTAGATTGTCATCAAAATTGTTACCTTACACTAAAGAAAAATACAGTTTCACTGAACTGGCTTTCCAATAAGGTTATTTTACTGTGTTGGATGATAAGCATCCTAATTATGAGCTGCTTGCTTTCAGATAGCTTTGTAGCTTTTAGGGTGGAGTTTTTCATTTCAGATGTCTGGCATGGACATGAAGTTTTTTTCCTGGAAAACTTCAGCCATCTTTGGGACTATGATTAAGAGGTTATATTGTTTTGCTGATTATTAAAGTGTAAGCTATCAGCTACTCAGTTAAGTTTTGGCACATTCAAGGTCTGGCTCAAGAACCTGCTGGTTGAGAAAAGCTTAACCTCAGTGCTGAAGATGTGCTTAATGATATCATTCTGAAAATCTTATCAAACCAGTTGTAAACCTCTGAAAGTCCCCTTTGCTTGTGCCAAGAAGTTTGTCGCAGCCTGGAAGTGATCTCTTTCTAATAACCCTGCTCCTAGAGAACTCCTTAGAGGTATTATAATCTGCAGCCAAGAGGACTTCTCTGGTAGGTTTCCCCTGCTGAAATCTGCTGTGGCTCCTGGTAATCACACATCATGAAAACAAACTTTACTACTTGCATTTTGCCACCTTAAGGAGTTCAGTACTGTCCATACTTTGGGATTTCTGGCTGTTACTTTGTTTATATAGACACACATAACCCCCCAAGGCACTATATTTGAAGATAACACATTAAAGGAACATTAGCCTGCATTCTTGCCTTCACCAGCCCTTTGTGTAAGCAATTATACAGGATTTAATTACCTGTATACATTCAATAATTTTTTCTCCCACCAGTGTCCTTACCTCACTCATAACATGGTCTGAATTTGGGACTCAGTCAGGATGGTATATTGAATGGAGCTGTGTGTAAACAAAGTTTTATAGACCTCTTCCCCTATTAGTTGCAGAAGTTCAGGGTGTGTGATCAAAACAAAAACACTGTGGGATTAAAAGCAAAACAATGGTTGCCCAAGTAGAACCAAGACGGGTTCTACTACAGTCTTTGACACTGTGGGTGTGTTTACTGTGGGTAAGTGTATAATGTAGAGATAACTGAGCAGGTCAGGCATCAGGAACAATTCTGTAGCAGAGCAAGGGAATTCACTCCTCTGAGTTAACCCCAGGGCTACCTGAAGCTTCTACAGCCAGACTGCTTCATGCAACTGTGTTAGCTTGAGGAGACAAGAGATTGCAACATAGAAAGTACACAGAGCTCTTCTGTATTTCTTGGTTGCAGTCACCAGATATTGCACGTAGGGTCAGCCAGTAATTTTGCATTTCTTACTAGCTAACTCACGGTTCAGGATACTCCTTTTGCATGTGGGCTCAGCACACATAACCACAAACAGAAGTGATGTGAGCCATACACTGAACTGAGCTGTTACGTATACTAAGTGATCAGCAAGCAAACTGAATGCATTACTTTTTTTAGAAATAAATTAAACTAAGAATGTTTACAGTTAATTTCTTATGCAAAAACAAGTGTCAGTGTGTCTGTCAATAGACATCTCTCAATGCCATCCTTAGACTTCAAAGCAGCAGAGCAACATAGTCTGCTTCACATCTGTACAAAAATCTAATATTTTAAGGATTACCATTAAAATATATAAAATAATTGAATATATTAAGAGGTTTAAATATATAAGAAAGGAAGACTGGGACCCTGAACTCAGAATTAAGTGAAAAATCAATTGCTAACTATATATCATGGAAATATAGAAACATAGAATGGTTTCAGTTAGAAGGAACCTTAAGGATCATGTAGTTCCAATTCTCCTGCCATGGGCAGGAACATCTTGCACTAGGCCTAGTTGCTCAAAGTCCTGTCCTTGAACATTTCCAGGGATGGGGCATCCACAGGTTCTCTGGGCAACCTGTTCCAAAGTCTCTCAACTCTTGCAGAGAATTTCTTCCTCATACCCAATCTAAACCAACCCTCTTTCAGTTTAAAGCCATTGCACCTTGTCCTACTACTACCTGTCCTTGTCAAAAGTCCCTCTCCAGCTCTTTTGTAGCCCCTTTAGGTACTGGAAAGCTTCTCTAAGGTCTTCCCTGAGCCTTCTCCAGGCTGAACAACCCCAAGTATCTCAGCTTGTCTTCACAGGATAGGTGCTCTAGCCCTCTATTAATCTTTGTGACCCTTCTCTGGACTTGCTCCAACATGTCCTTCCTTTGTGGGGGCCGTGGATCTCATGTAGTACTCCAGGTGGGGTCTCATGAGAGCAGAGGACTGAGAATGTTTGAGAAAAAGTTTCTGTTTGCTGTATACATTGAGTCTGCAGTAAGTCTACTCAGCCAACTACCATTTAAATGCTTCCTAAATAATTGGAACTCCACAATATTGGTGGGGGTTTGCAGGTGGTGTTTTTGTGTTTGTTTTTTAATATGGATACCTTTAAAATGCAATCAACACTGTCTGCATGATGGAATGGAAAGTAGCTGCCTCCTATTTTTCTCTCAGCAGTGATTTTCATTCAGATCCTTTCTTTTTAATTTTTCCCAGCCTGCAGTCTATTGAGTATTTTTGCCGAACTGCTCAGAAACCTCGCTGCCTTGCATACTGAAATCATGAAGTACTGTATATCCCTTTCTAGAAAGGGAAAATAAATACCAGAGTGTTCTAACTGAGGTCATACTTTCTCCATGTCTAGACACCTTTGTTAATCTCTCCCTTTTATAATACTTCTGTGCTTTCCATGTACTCAGTTGTGAGGAAAGCACTTTACACTTAGTTGCATAAAATATGCTGGATTTCCAGACAACTTTCGGTACAGCATCTCAGATTGTTAGGGCTGGTGTGTGTGATCTTCTATGAAATCAGATTTTTTCCTCTGGAGGAACTTTGTTCAGTAAACCAATGGTAAATTTGGAATGAAAATATGACTGATGTGGTTCCTTAATGCCCAGCTTGTTAAACAAATGCTGTTGAGTCTCCAGTAAACAAGCTAAACTTCTTGTTCCACTAGAAATATATTTTACTAAGAATCTTTTTAGATCTCTTTTTATGCAAAAAATAATGTCTCAAGTGATGGTTTTAAGCAGAATAAAGCAAACATTTAATAAATTAAAACATATGCTGAATCAGTGTTTGCCCACTTTTTAAATATTAATACTCTTTTCTTACTCTTTGTACATAAATACCCTTTTAAGAGAGTAACAATGAAATGTATAGACAATCCACATCAAATAAATGTGAACTTTTGATGTAATTATCAAAGGTCTGTTGGATTCTGTCGAATTTTAATTAGTATTGGATTCTAACCAAGAAATTCAAGTCTCACGTGGATTTTAAAAATCCAAACAGTATGTCCCCTTGCACAAAGGATTTTGGCTTAATTTGGCACATTATAAAGGTACTGGTTATTAATAAAATTATGTCGAAGTTCAGATTTTGAAAACTAACAGGCTGAGGATTTGGTTTAGCATGGAGCAATAAACTAATTGGTCTGTGCACTAAATGAAACTGCTCAAAAGACTTTCAGGTCTGGGTTTTGGGGTGGGTTTTTTCAATATTAGCTGTTGGACAAATAGTTTAATGTTTTAAAAAAATATACTAACCTGAAATTCTTCTTGATAAAGTCTTAAACTAATAATAATAATGGCCAGTCTTCGCTAGCGAAGATCCGGGGAAGGTCTTTACACCTTCCAGCCTGCACATTGGATTTTTTAGGTGAGACACAGTGTGCGCGGAACTGAGCCCACCCTTTAATCCTAAGGTTCATCTGCCGGGCCCAAGCGAGCTTGGACGGTGGCAGCGAGGTCCTTAGGACGTAGATGGGTTGCCTTTAAGGGCTAACGAGCTCCACCTGCCCGGGAGTGGCCCTGACCGAGAATCAAACCCAGGCCTCAGTGGTGACAGCGCCGCGCCCTTAACCACTAGACCACCAGGGGTTCCCACAGTCTTAAACTAAATAGATTGTAAAATCATAGAGTCATTAGGGTTGGAAAAGACCTCCAAGATCATCGAGTCAAGCCTTTGATCAAACACCACCATGCCAACTAAACCATGGCACTAAGTGCCACATCCAAACGTTTCTTGCACACTTCCAGGGGTGGAGACTCTACCACTTCCCTGGGCAGCTCATTCCCATGCTTGACAACCCTTTCAGTGAAGAAAATATTCCTAATGTCCAACCTGAACCTCCCCTGGTACAGTCTGAGGTCATTTCCTCTTGTCCTGTTGCTAAGAGTAGTGGCCAACCCCCATCTTGCTACAGCTGCCTTTCAGTAGTTGTAGAGAGTGACAAAGTGTCCCTTGAGTCTCCTTTTCTCCAGGCTAAACAACGTCAGCTCCTTCAGGACTTACTCTCTAGAACCTTGGCCAGCTCTGTTTCCCTTCTCTGGACTTGCTCCAGCACCTCAATGTCCTTCTTGTAGTGAGGGGCCCAAAACCGGACATAGATCTCAAGCTGCTGCCTCACTGCTGTCCAGTACAGAGGGACAATCACTTTCCTAGTCCTGCTAGGTACACTGCTGGCTCAAAAAAATTTTGCAACACTTCATCAATCTGTGTCATCCCTGAGCAGGGGCCATGTTAATCCTCTCTGTATCATTCCAATTTTGGTATATGTGCTGCCCACTTGAAATATACTATACTATTATGACTTTCACTGTCATGGAGAGCTTAAGAATGGAGATACTGGCCATTGCAAATAACTACTAAATAGGATTGCTACATAACCATTTGTAACATGTTCCTATGTTCTTTTAGTGATTCCAGTCCTTTTTCCTTGGGAAACACCAAAAACTATTTCAACGGGCAAAGAAACAAATTCAAAGATTATCAGACCTACAAGGACATTTGAGTTTTGCCAAGAGATTAAAGATCAGCTCTATTTTTCCCCAGTAGACTTTCAACCAAGAAGGAAAGCCTAATCGGGTAGTGTGGGGTGACTCACGATATCTGAAGCCAGAAAGGACCACTAGTACTGTTTAATCTCTAGTCACAGGATCCACAATATTTTTTTCCCCTTGAAGATCCTTAGAGAAGGGAATGCTAACGCCCCAGTGGTGGCTACCAACCCTCTTGACAGCTCCAGTGTTGCAGGTTGAAGAGCTGAGGGTAGTCATGGGAAGAGAGGTGGTTGTGAGTAGCCACGGTCAGACATCTGCAGGATGGGGAAGGGGTGGGCTGACTCCAGGAGCTGCATTTCAACAGTGTCCACTTCCTCACCTCACTGCCCCCTCTCTAACCTCCTCTCTCCACAGCTGCCCTGGCCCCTCAAATCTCCCTATAGGATACAAATAATCCACTCGTCCCTGTTCTTCTTCACTCACTTCTCCAGGGCTTAATCTAGCACCACCTTCACACCCATACAACCTTACGTCACTTTGCCTAATGTCAAAGATTAGGTTTTTACTCTGCATCAATTTTGGATGAGTTTTTCATGCTTTCAAAGATGCACAGGTCATTTTTTCAGGGGGCATGGGCTGGCACCTCCACTCTGCAACATGCTTTTGCTTCCTGTTCATGGCATTTCAGTGTGTTCAAACTCCTGCACTGAATTCAGGTCACCTATCCAGGTGATTCAGCACAGTCTGTAACAGCTGACTCCTGATTGCTTTTCACAGCATCAATTTTGTGTCCCCTGCAAACTGCACCCAGTGTTCAGATTATTTTCAAACAAGAGTTTAAAGTGGTTTAGGACCAAGGGTTTTTCAGTGTCTTGCTAGTAATGGCTCAGATAATTAATACCTTTCCATTAATGCATACATTTTGACTGCTATCAGTCAAGTGGTGTTTAAATCATGTAATCTGTGCTCTATTAATTACATGTAATGTAGGATTTTAAAAAACAATGTCATGTGTAGTATGTCAAATACCTTGGTGAAATTTAATGACACCATAACAACACAGCTACCTTTGTCAACCAGATCTATAATCTTGTAAGAAAACCTTCAAGAAGATAATTTGACAAGAATTACTTTCTCTGAAACTACACTGAATAATACAGCTTTATTTTTAGTATGTAATTCCCTGTTGATAGAGTGCTGAATTTGTCTAGTTTCCTTTTTTTTTCCCCCTAAGATTAGTATCAGAATAACTGATATAACATTTCCTGGGCCATTTTCTTTAAATACTGTGACTGCTTTGGCATGTCAGCCATTCTTTGAAATATCCTTTCTTTCCCAATATTTGATAAAGAAAATTAACTCTGATAGTCCAGAGAGCTTTTTGACTAATTTTTTTAAACTTCTCAGGTGAGAAAACATAAGGGTTTCAATGTTTGAAATATTGTGTTTTAGCAGAAGATATTAACTGTTCAGATGGGCCATGAGGTTTAATTCCCTATAGCCTTTTATTCCACTTACTAGTTCTTTTTTTTTTCCTCTTTTTTTTTTTTTTTTCTTAAATAAATCTGCTGGCCAATATTGCTGTTCATTTATTTCTGAAAGGAAGAATCACAGATACCAAGATACCAGTGGGACCTCAAAGCTGATACTCGTCTTGTTCTGACCTCGGGGTGGGGGTGCTGGTTCGTCTCATGCTGAACCCATTAGGTAGCTGTATGCCTTATCTATGGTAAGCATACCAGGAGAGTCTGCAGGGAGTGGTTTATTGATAAAAATGATAAATTTACATGTATGCCAGCCCCTTTCACTAGAAATATTTTGCTGTCTACCTTTTCCTCATGATTCCGACCTGTCACGACACTTAGCAAATCACACTGTACCAAGAAATTTCTCTTTTCCTTTCTAACAGTGCTGTAACTTCATGCAATTTGAGAGGCCTTGAGGCCTAACAAGAACTGTGGATCTTCCCACAGCAAGGTTTGTCTGTTGGGAAAAAATACTGCCTGTGGTAAGCATCAAAGTACTTCTGAAGAATTGTCTGCCCTAGATAATCCCACAGCTTTTCTTGTATCTGGTGGTTTACTGAACATGATAACAAGTGTGGGTGACTTGTTGCTTTGTAGTTTGTTTGTTTGTTTCTTTGTTTGTTTGTTTTCATCGGAGATTTTTACATTCTAGAAAGGTGTTTTTGTCCTCCTGGTCTTTGAAAACTCTTGAAAATGTGCAAACTAGAGGTTGAAAACGTAGAAACAAACACAGAAGTCGAGAGTTGAGTTCTCTGCCAAATCTAATTATTATACAAATCTGGTGACTTTCTGGGACTTACCATCTTCAGATTTCAGATTTGGTACAGTTGAAAAGTTCTAAATAATGAATGCAGGATTATTTCAGACCAAATATTCCCAGAAAACTACGAATAGATGTCTGGGGAAAGCTGAGACCATGCTGGGCTTTTTCTTTCCATTACCAGGCCCAGTTAGAGGTAAGGTACTGTGCTGCACAGACCTGTGGGGTAAACTAGGGTAATAAGGGCTAGAATAATTGTACACAGACAATTAGGCTTTACTTATAAGGAAAGATTTAGTAACAAGATCATAAATGTAATAACTTTATTTGCAGAATTATGAAAATCAGCATGAAGCTATTGTTATAGATGAACTGGAATGCCAGAGTCAAAAAATTTGCTCTGTTATTATTGAAATGGTGAACTGTTCAGTGTGTTTCATTTTGTCTTTGACGGAGATGACTTTAAACTGATATTCATTATTTCCATGTTTTTGTTTTAGCACACCTTGTTGTTAGAAAGGATGCTTAAATGGTCCTTAATTACAGTAACACCTACAATAAAATCTAGGCATTGCTACCTAGATATCTACACACTGCTCTTCAGTGCATACCACCCCTATGAAAACAGAGTGAAAAAAAAACAAAATCATGGAACAACCATGTTAAAAAGTGAGTTCATTAACCTATAGATTGAGCACCATTTGGAAAAAACAGTGCTTCACTTCCCTCCATCAGTGTTGTCTACAATGCAAGGTGCAGTTGTTTTCTTTGTTTAATCATGTCTTTGACCACAGTTCAAAAGTCAATATTCTTCTGTCAGATGCAGGCTTGCATGTGAGGGATAGGTAGGGAACTTAACTAGGAAGCTTTGTGAACAGGGAATTGAATCTACATCTAATTCACTAAGCACACATGTTTACATGACCTTTAAAGAAGGGAATTAAAGCAGTTTGATCATGAGCTCTAGGCAATCTGACATCCTGAGGCGATTGAATCAAGGGCTCAGGTAGTTCTTGCATGAGAACTGAACTCAGAGAATTATTTTAATTTAAAAATAATTTCATATAAAATTCATAGATGTCTTAGCATTATGAAATTAATGTAGAAGCACTGCAAATGACTGCCCAGAAGCTGCTAGGGTAGCAACAAACACTCTAAAGCTGTCAGTTCATCTGGGTGTCTTCTTGCTACCAAACAGAGCAGGAAGAATATTGTGGTGATTTAGTGTCAGAAGGTGGCAACAATTAGATTTTTTATCACCAAAAAAACCCACCACCATTGGAAAAGACAGACTATACCATGAGTAGAAATACAAAATACTTCTTAATGGCATCCTTGCCCAGTGATATTTGGGCAAATATTTAATGTTTTCTGAGGTAAAATGTATTAAAACATGAAATTCTCAGAGGAACACAAAGACTTGGTTAAAGCACATAGGCATATTTGATTTCTAAACTCCTTTAATGCTAAAATTCCATTGGAATTCCAGTATGCAAAGCACAGTTTTGATTATATGACCTGCCTCATTCTAAGAGCCAAGCATCTCTTGCCCTCCACAAGCACTACATGCCTCCACAGATTTAGAGCACTGGGTTTTGAAATATATAGAGAAAATGAACTCTTTTCAAAAGGGAGAAAGATACTAGAGTTCTTATTTACTCTTCAAATATTCAACAGCACACTTTCCAGGAGCTCGTCAAAATTTTGTCTCTCCTCTGCCCAGGATGTGTATCTCAATATGCCTTACATTTCCAAGCAGGATAATACATGATTGCCAAGGGGAAAAGGAGAGTGGTAAAAACAGAGTGTCTACGTAGTCTCTGCTAGAAAGTCATGGGCTTATTCTGCCTGTGTTTCAGACTGGAGCTTTGTGTGGGAGTTTGTGGCTCTGGACAGTGTGGTGCTAAACTCACTTAAGAGACACTGCCCGTTGTCTTTTTGGACAACCCACTAACACAGCTGATCAGTCCTGTTTGACTTGGGAGTACAGGCAGAACTGCTCACAGCTGCCTGCAAAACCAGCTGACAAGTCATGTTATATGGGGGCTCTGTGGGACAGACTACCATTGGTATTAGGATTACCTATGTCATGCCTGTGATAATTGGAAGGTTAACAAGTAAATATTCCCAACCGAAATCCATTGAGATTTCACAGGATAATAAGCACAGAGGAGTAGAACAGAAATGCAGGGTTTCCTCTCCTTTTAATGGCTCATTAATACTAGTTATGACTGTTTAACAGCTGATTACATCTTCTTCCTGTACAAGGCCCCAAATATATGTGTCAACATGTTCCTCTTGTTCCATAGGTTACCCGGTTTACTGACAGTTCCATAATGCAAAGGAAGCCCCAGAAAGGTGACCTCGCTCGGCGCCACTCCCAAGACTTTCCTGGCTGTCCTTCATTAGATGGGCAAGGTTCTTGCAGTACAGCACGCCAACTCCAGTTCAAAGAATAGGCTTTCTGGTTCTCTACCAGTAAAAGTAAGGGGCATTTGAG